CGAGGGGGGCAGAGGGCACCGGGTCCAGGTCTCCTTCTCGTGGAAGGAAAAAGGAAATGTCTTTGGGGCGAACTCAAGAGTCAACTTCGCACATGGTGATGGTGGGCGGAGGATGTGAAACCGACTTGGAGACCGACCTGCCAGGTGGCCTTCTCGGGGGGCTTTTGCGCCTGACAGCCGGGGGAGACGGGGGCGCTTAGGCGGGACTCGCGATCGCCAGGTAAGGCGCGGGGTCCGGAGCGAGTGGATGGTCAGGACAGGGGTGTCCTGTCCGGTTAGACTTGGCGGAAGTGGCGCCCAGTAGGGCTTGCTGCGTTCGCCCTGCACGTGCCAAAGTGTCTGCATCGTGCGCTTCTCGCGGCGGGCGCGTGGGCTTCCAGCACCGAAAGGTGGGTCGCGGGCTCGCCTGCCCCTGAGCTCACCTCTGACCTTGCAGGGTGGCACCTGGGGATGGTCGCTCCCGCTCAGGAGCAGCATGTGGGTGCTGTGTTGGGAGGAACCGTAGGAGGTGATGCAAGTGTGTCCTATACCTGAGTTGGGAGATGGGGAGGGATGGAGGGATTGGGGAGGTGAGGACGGCGCCTCCGCGTTCCCCAGCCTGGGTCCGGGCTCTGCGTAAAAATCTTGCAAAGGAGAGTAGGAAGGGGAGTGTGTGCCGCACCTTTACACTCGGGGAAACTTCGCGTGGGGGGTGGGGGCTCGGGGACTAACTACACAGGCCTGAGGTTGAAACCTGGGACAGTGTGTGACCTCCGCGCGCGCCTTCGTTTCCTCTTCTGCAAAATGGAGCCCCTGAGGTGGGGTTTGCACGGGGACCGAGGAAGGAATAGGGTAGACCAGCGGTTCTCAACCTTCCTGATGCCGCGGCCCTTTAATACAGCTCCTCATGCTGTGGGGACCCCCAACCATAAAATTACTTTCGTTGCTACTTCATAACTGCAATGTTGCTACTGTTATGAATCGTCATGTAAATATCTGATAGGCAGGATGGATTTTCATGGTTACAAATTGAACATCATGAAAGCATAGAGATGTTCCACAAAAACAATATGTAATTATAGATGTGTTTTCCGATGGTCTTAGGCGGCGCAGCCCCTGTGAAAGGGTCATTCGACCCCCCCCAAAGGAGTCGCGACCCACAGGTTGAGAACCGCTGGGGTAGGCGACTGGGCCCCACAGGTGGGCAGCGCGCTGTGAATATTAACTGTTAGCTGTCATCACTCCCTTTCCGTCGAAAGGCCTTCCGGGTGCCCTGTCGGCCTGAGTTCGCTGCGTGAAACGTGAAGCAAACTAACTGGTTTTCTCTTATGAGGTTCCCCATCCTTCCCGCCTGGAAAGTCACTGATAAACTAGAAAAACCAAAGCGTTTTTCTCTGTGATCAGCGACGAGTCCGATGGGCGTCTGTCGGCACGGCTCCGAGGCTCCTGCCTCGGAAAGTGGGGGAAGGTCTCACTTCGCTGCTCGGGCGGAGGCGGTTGGTTGTATGTGGTTGGTTTTTTAAAAATATATTTTTATTGATTTCAGAGAGGAAGGGTCTTGAGCTGAAAATGACTATATTTAAAAAAAATTTTTTTAATTGATTTCAGAGAAGAATGGAGATGGAGAGAGATAGAAACATCAGTGATGAGAGAGAGTCACAGCAGCTGCTTCCTGCACACTCCTGACTGGGGAGCGAGCCCACAACCCAGCTCTGTGCCCTGATGGGAATGGAACTGCTACCTCTTGGTGCATGGGACAGTGGCTCAACCACTGAGCCACACCAGCTGGGCTCAAAGAAGCTTTTGGAAGGAAAAGATGGCGCAGCTGAGCTGAGCTGAGCCGCTTGGGTAGGACGTAGGCGTCTGTCGGCACGGCTCCGAGGCTCCTGCCTTGGAAAGTGGGGGAAGGTCTCACTTCGCTGCTCAGGGACTGTGTGTGTATTTGGGCGGAGGCGGTTATATGTGGTTGGTTTTTTAAAAATATATTTTTATTGATTTCAGAGAGGAAGGGAGAGGGGGAGAGAGAGAGAATTACTATTACTGTGTCATAGGTAACCTTGAAATGACACGGTGGAGACGGAGGGCTTTTCATCCTCCACGCGGGCGGAAGCAGTGGGTCGTTTTTAAGATGAGCACAGAGGCCGTCAGATTAGCTCTTTGGATTAGCAGGGCCTGCGGGGTTGTGGGGTTGGATTGAAGGTAGAGGCGGCCCGTCCACTTGTCCTGGCAGCGTCCTGTGTGCCTGTGGCTCCTGAAGGAAAATGATGGCTTAGCCCAGACAGAGTTTTGTTTTTTAAATGTATTTTTATTGACTTTGGAGAGGAAGGGAGAGGGAGAGAGAGAAACATCCATGGTGAGAGAGAATCATGGATGGGCTGCCTCCTGCACACCCCACACTGGGGATGGAGCCCACAACCGGGCACGTGCCCTTGACCGGGAATCCAACCTTGACCTCCTGGTTCGCAGGTCGATGAGGGCCAGTGTGGGTGGCTCCGGCGAATGGAGGAGCCCGAGGAAAGCCCCTCAAGTGAGAAGGTGGGTGTTACCCCCCCACCCAGACAGGTGGGTCCA